TCCTTGGCTTTCGCCGACTTCTTCCCTGCCGGGTGGGTCATAGACCGGATCTCTGGCCAGCATTCTAAGGTGAAGAAAGCCTTTGTCAAACTCACCAACTTCTTTCAGTATGTGATCGATGATCATTTGAAGACCGGACAGTCACAAGATCACTCGGACATCATTAGTGTCATGTTGGATATGATCAGCAAACCCACAAAAGATTCTTTCAAAGTCACTGATGAGCATCTCCTAGGAATCATGTCGGTGAGTACTAATATTATTTTAGCATGAAAGTTTTATTTTGAGGTTAGGGTTCTCATAAGTCATTTCAATCATGCTTGACCGTTTGGACATACACACACACAAATATATATATGAAGAAAAACTATTTATAAAAATCTATAAAATCTTAGATTTTGGAATAAATATTATAGCCTGGAAGGGCAAGCAACTTAAGATATGGACAACTAATTATCTTGTTTTGACAATACGTTCACAGCTCGATCTGGATGCAGTCCAATAGAACTTTGGCTTTGGCTTTCATTTTTTTAAAAATTATTTATCTAGACATAGACTCCAAATTATGGGGAAATTTTTTATTAAAGTTTTTAGTAAATTTTAATAAAGTTTCTTTTCTGACTTAGTTCACACATTATGCTCCCTAATTAAATTTGACGTACGGTCTATAGAGTCTTAATTGAGTCTGAATGTCGATGACAAAAAAGAAAAAAAATTGACGTACTATTTAAAATCCAACCATGAAAATGATTTATATATCATTTGATAGGATGTGTTCTTGGCTGGAGTGAACGCTGGAGCCATAACGATGATATGGACGATGACAGAACTAGCCAGGAATCCTAGAGCGATGAAGAAGCTACAAGAAGAGATACGAACAACACTCGGACCTAACAAAGATAAAATCACAGAAGAAGATCTAGAGAAAGTTGAGTACCTGAAGCTAGTGACTGAAGAAGCATTCAGATTACACCCACCAGTTCCTCTCTTGCTCCCAAGACTAACAATGTCCGACGTCAAGATTCAAGGCTACAACATCCCAAAGAATACCATGATCCAAATCAACACTTACGCGATAGGACGTGACCCCAAATACTGGACCAGACCCGAAGAGTTCATCCCCGAGAGGTTTGTCGATAACCCTATTGAATACAAAGGTAAGCATTTTGAGCTATTGCCGTTTGGAGCCGGACGTAGGATCTGTCCAGGGATGGGAACAGGGATCACCATCGTTGAGCTTGGTCTTCTTAACCTTCTTTACTTCTTTGACTGGAGTTTGCCTGAGGGAATGACCATCAAAGACATTGATATGGAAGAAGATGGAGCTTTTGCGATCACCAAGAAAGTCCCGTTAGAGCTCGTACCAACTCGTCATCGCTGTTGAAGAACGTAATAATATTTAATGAATTTGTCTAAATACTATTGGTGTGGCTTTGTTTTCATGTTTTGTCGTAACTTGTTTTATCATGTCATGTGATCGGTGTGTTACCAAATAATGTTTTAGTAATGTATACAATAAACCATATGTAGTTTCCCCTTTTTTTTAATTATTGTTATTGAAATGGTCTATTGAATAAAACTTCGTGTTATGATGACATAGCATCATTGACAAACACAATAAAAGTTGACATTAGAGTAACTGCGACAGAAAGATTTAAGTATAACTTAGTCACACAACTCACAACTCAGTTTATAATAAAAATGGTTTTCAAAAGTATGAAGTCTACTTTTAATTATTTTCAAAATACATTACCAAAGACCAAAACTGTGGAGCCAAAACTNCGTGTTATGATGACATAGCATCATTGACAAACACAATAAAAGTTGACATTAGAGTAACTGCGACAGAAAGATTTAAGTATAACTTAGTCACACAACTCACAACTCAGTTTATAATAAAAATGGTTTTCAAAAGTATGAAGTCTACTTTTAATTATTTTCAAAATACATTACCAAAGACCAAAACTGTGGAGCCAAAACTCCTGTAATGTTTTTCAAAGAACCTAAGTATTAATTATACTAGTGGGACCCAAAACATTTTTCATTGACAACATAAATGGTAAATTTGAAAATTGTATATGTTCTCTTGTTAAATCTCTTATATATTATTTACAAAGTGATTTTGATATATGTGATCACCATAATCAATTTCACCAAAAAAAAGTGATGACATGTCCACTAATAATAATGACATAGCATAGAGTTAATTATGATATGTACATTTACATTTAATTTTAATATATATTTTTGGTAAATTTTTAAAATACGGTAATAACTTATAAATTATGATATCGTTAGTTTTATTTAAAATATTTATAAGTTTTAGAAATATTATTTAATTTTATATTTTGATAATTATATACCTGATAAAAATTTCTCTTAATTGTACAGAATCTGATTTAACATATTTTAACCAAAAAAGATAAAAAAAAAAACTTTCCAAAATTTAATTTTAAAGATATATATATGTGATTAAATATAAATTTAAATAAAATTTTTTTATTTTATCTTAACTTTTACATATAATTAACGTAAAATTAATAATATAACAAAATAATAAATTTTAAAATTAACTAAATTGTATTTTTTAAATCTAATTTTATTTTTACAAGTTTTATTTCTGCACATGATGCCGGAAAACACTTAGTTACAAAAAAAAAAGAATTTGAAGAACAATGTTTAACACCCATTTAACTAATTTAAATGAGAAATATATCATTTTTCTATTGTGATTAAAAAAAAATTCCTTCTCTTTCTTAGCTGAAAAACCCCAAAATTTTTATTGGGTCTTAAGGGCAACCCCATCAGTGAACCTTGGGGGGGGGGGAGTTCACAGCTTTTTGTTTTTTTAATTTTTTTATTATTTCGTTTGAAATTTCTTAAAAAAATATATATATAAGCGAACCAATCGCGGGCCGCCACATGTCGTAGGGCTCACGAAATAGTCAAGAACCAGATTCACCAGAGAGCACCTTTGCGAGATAGGTTCAAAATTAAAGTGGAGTCTGCAATTATTTTAACATTTTATTTTCTAGGAATGTGTGAGAGTTTGTGGGTGTGAACCTGTGTTCGAAAACGCGGGCGCCTAGCCGATTAATCAGCCGCCTAGGCGCTCGACGTTAAGAAACCGTAGCGATTAAGCCAATTCGGATGACCTAATCGGACCACTATTTAATCGGGCGCCTAAGTCAACTAATCGGTTTATTACCGAGTTGTAACTACTATTTGCCGATTAATTTTTCAACTTTTGACGAGTTATTGGGCTTTTATTAATAGCCCAACTCATAGATTGGTTGATCACGTAATGCATTAATTTATATGCATTGCAAGATATCAGTTTTGTTTCATTGTCCGATGTGGGATCTAAAACTTTTCACGTAACAACTCAACTATACTAACGTCTTGTATTTTTTTTTCTTGTGTCCAAAAGCATTTCTTCTTTTTGTATGATACAAGAAACGCATTTGCTTTTCTTTTTCTTTTCCCCTTTTTATTGTAATATTCCTTGACTATATATAATTTCATAGTATTATTTAACACATTGATAATATATATAATATATATTTGCTTGTGAATTCATTTTAATTTATGGGTTTTGATATTTATATATGTATGTATCATATAAATATATTTTAACAAATAGATTTTGTTAATCTTATATATGAGTTTCATTATTATAACACATTATCATTATATTTATTAGTAAAACATATTATAAATCTATTAAATTATATTAAAAACTAGGCCCCGAGTAATCCCCGCATACTCCCCGATTTTTTGGTAACTCGCAAGGCATAGACTGACCGCCCGACTAGCGCCTAGCGTAGTTTCGAACATTGGTGTGAAGAGATAGCCTAAGTCATTGCTTACTAGGCATGCGAGTTCGGTTAACCGAAACCAAATCGAACCAATTTTTTGGTTTTTGGTTAACCGTTAATTTGTAAAAATATTTCCGAAGTAAACCGAATCAAAATATATATTTATGCTCATAATGTTTGTATCTTTAATCAGTCTTACCACTTATGTTAATCAAAGTATAACAGATCCTAACCATTAAAAGTCAAGCTGTACTATCTCTTTTAGGTTTAGTGTCCGCATATAGGCAATGGGGAAATCAGTAATCAAGCTCTAGAAGAAGACGACTACACAGTATCTATCAATGTGGAAGATTGCAGAGAAAACATTAGAATGTTGTAGAGTTGTGTATTTTCATATCGTTAATTTTGGTCTAATATGCTATAAATCTTAGTTTTTTTATGTCCATTCACTAAAATTTAATTTCTAACAAAATTGTCATAATAATAATAAACTTGCAATATATTTCAATATTTTTATTTGTGTCTTCCTAATATAAGTGACTGATAATAATCCATGCGATGATGCGAACAGCCTTTTTTCATTCTGTCACAGTCATCTTTGTAGTTTCAAGTTTAACATTCAGGCTTGTTCCTCTGATAAAGCACGTAGAGCACTTGCTTCAAGCAACAAAATACTTCTAAAATTAAAGGACGCATTTAAAAAAATATTAATTTGATTAATGAACATATCCTTGTACAGTGTTTTTGTTATTGAAAAACTTATAAAACTGGGACGCTTATACTTAAATATTATTTTAGTCTCCGCAAAACATATTTTAACCATAAACATTTTATGTTGTCTTAGTGTAGCAAGTTGTTATCTTTAATTTATATAGAAAAAATGAATTTCAAATTATTATCTTGAGTTGATTTTGTTGGAAAAAGAAGCCCTTAATCATTGTGTTTATCTCTATTTTCTATTCCTTTTACCAGATGTGTAGTTTTAGGATTGGTAAATAACATGGTTTTGCTTTGTGACAATTATTTTGAAGACATGAAATTGGAACATGAATCACACATTTATGTATGAAATTGGATTGTGGATGACGTGAGGAGTTGAAGATTTTCCAACTTGAGGTACCAAAAACAATCATGACTTGTCTGTAAGAACTAGCTCGAAGATTTTTCAAAAGTCTTTTTGAGTTAGTGTTCCAAGAATCGAATCACGGATCTCCTCGCCGCTTGCTCAGTCAAGAGCAGTTCTTCTGTCAGCGTCTTTAACTGTGAAGTCAGCGCCGGCTCTAAGAAGCTCCTCGAGCCTAGGCTTGTCTCCTGAGGCTGCTAACGTCAAAAGTATCTACGAGATGGATATTTTGGTTAACCTCTTGTCGTAGGTACCTTAAACTGCCATCAACATGTAGTTAAAATACTGCAAGTTACCAAGAGACAACAAAAATATATCTATTCTGTTTTGCTCAAAAACGACTTAATGACAGTTGCTTTTGCATTTAAAATCGCTATGTTCAAGAATATACAGTGATTCAAGAGCCTAGAAATGAAGACAAACTGCAGAGTCATCATTTATAGAACAAGAAGTGTGAGTGTTGTTGGAATTTCAAAGTTGAAAAATAAGAAATGTCATTATGTCATGAGCCTATTTAATAATGACGTTGGTGTTTGTTTTACGGATTTGTGCATGATAATGTTTGTTGTAATTATAAAACATGTTTCCATGATGATATTTTACATATTTGTGCTATGTATTAGAGAAAGTAAAAATAAATCATGTGCCTACGAATAAACTTATATTTTAATTTCAAATAGTTGTGCTTATGGTGTGACCTGCGGGTGATACCTAGCAAACTGACTTTTTGTTACAAACAGGAAAAGTCTTCATCAAATCAGACTCTAAAAAACAATCTCTGATGAACTCACTATTACAAAACTCGATGTAACAAAAATACTGAAATAAGATCTCAGGTAGGAAGCAACTTATAGGAGGAGTGGTACATGTGATTGCAGTGGAATGGCTGGGACTTCTTCATTGTGGTATGCATTATCCATATCCTCTATGCGGTAGTGAAGAAGATACCTTAGATCACCTTCTATGTAATAGCATCTGCACACTACCCTCTGGAATTGAAACTCAATTTCATCTTGTTGTGGATGAACAGCCACTATGCGTCGATGCTTGAACAACACGACGCGCTAAACTAGCAAAAAGAAAGACAACAATTAAGAACAAAAACTCTGATGTTTAAATTTAAAGAAAGTTCAAGATAAAGAAGAGCTTGCAAAAGCAAACATTAGGATGATTTATTATTGGATGAAAATAACAAAAAGGAAGAATCTTAGTACGAGCGGACATAAATAACAAAGTATCCTAGAAATTATTCGCTCATGGTTTGGGCAAAATAAAAATCAAATCAAGTCAACATTACCATCTATTGGCATCCAGTCCACATCAAACTAACAAATTATTGTTAGCGCATCTCTAATCGTCTCTAAATTTGTTTCTATAATAAAATTTTGTGTCAGAATTATTTTAATATTTTTTTTTAAAATAGATTTTTCTATATTTTTCTCTATTTATAGAAGAATAATACCGGAGAACATTGCATAAAGGCATCACACAACAAAACTGTTTTCCTCATCCTGAATATTTTCAATTTCAAGTGACAGAAATTGGCAAAAAGAAATGTTTATTTCTTACCTTTTGTATGGTCATAAGCCAACAAAACAGCTTTTATGGTTCTCATTTATTATCTGGTTTATTAAAAAAAGTTGGTTACATCATTATTCTCTTCCCTCATTAAAATAGTGCTGATCATAATTGTTGGATACAGATATCTCAAGCATTTGTAAAAATAATTTTACAGAGTTTGTAAGCCAAAACAACAGCATTAGGTGTGATGCCTGCGGGAATGTAACAACTAATTTATAAAAAAAACGAGAAAATCAGAGCAAGCCAAAATAAGTTATTTGCTTTGTTACAATTAAACTTTATAGAACTGGTTTAGTTCAGAATAAAACATAATAACAATAATTTCAGAATTTTTTATTTTTATTTAAAAAACATAATTTAACTTTATAGAACTGATTTAGTTAACTAATATTAAACAAAGTGAATAAGTTTATATATTAACATACATCTTAAAGATCATTTGACCACAAATTCATGAGTATAAACAAACTAAACCAGAATGTGTATGTGAGAGTATATAATTGTAGTTTTGATATTTTTGTTTTGCCAGTGCAAACTTGAGAGGTATCAAGCAAACTCTCATGGAGAGTATGTAGTCATGACATAAACGTCAAGACAATCAAAATTGATTTTCTTCATCTTCCAATAGTTGTTCCATACCCATTGTTGTGGAGTCATATTTTTACTGACAAGAAGTTACTAACAACCCCCTGCAGATTTTCACTTTCAAGCAACTACATTCAGCGACAGGTGGGTTAAGAAAGTCAAATGTGGTTGGTCATGGTGGGTTTGGTTTGGTTTATCGTGGTGTGCTTAACGACGGGAGAAGTTGTTATCAAGTTTATGGATAATGCAGGGAAGTAAGGTGAAGATGAATTCAAGATGGAGGTTGTTGTTTTATTTGAGCTTTTTAGTCGTTCTTTAGCTTTACATGTACTGTGTGCAGAGTTTTGATTGATCAATTTGTATACAGGTTGAGTTACTGAGCTGTCTCCGTTCACCTTACTTGTTGGCACTTCTTGGTTATTATTGTTCAGACAATAGTCACAAACTGCTTGTGTATGTGTTCATGGCAAATGGTGGTTTTTGCAGGAACACCTCTATCCTACTAACAGTTAATTTTCTTCTTCTAGTAATACTAGCAAGTTGTGGAGTTCTTGTTGGAATTGATATAGAGCTATATGTTTGTTGTTCTTGCATATAGGGTCTGGTTCTGTTCCATTGAGATTAGACTGGGAAACTCGGATGAGAAGGTGTTCTTGTTTCTTGGGTACACTTGTTTTCACTAATCATATTCTTTCAACATTTGGTTTCTTCTTTTTACTCTAATCTCTTGTTCTTTCTAAGCGTTGCCTCAATTGGGTGATAGAGACAAAGTGATGGACATAATGGATCCAACACTAGAAGGGGCAGTACTCGACCAAAGAGGTTGTTCAGGTTGCAGCAATAGCAGCGATGTGTGTTCAAGCCGAAGCTGATTACAGACCGTTGATAGCAGATGTGTTGCAGTCACTGGTTCCACTAGTGAGGAGTCGTAGGTCAGCTGCAAAGCTTAGTGGTTGTTCTATTGAGTGCCTTTTGAACATTAATGCTCTGTTTTGAAAATGATCTGTAACTTTTATTTTCCACTGCAGGGAGACTCCGGTCTGCCTAAGGTTTTTGACATACTTTGATCAACAGTCAACTGATGAAGCACATACTCTACTGGTAAACATTCACCGAGCGTGTAATTTAGAATTGGTTGGCTTCACCACACAAGCGTGTAATTTAGAATGCAACATTGTATATAGGACATTTATATCATGGATGCCTTTGTTGTGAAATTCAGTACTTTCAAGCGAACGATCCCTCAGGTTATTTTGTTCTCTAGCTAATTCTCTTCTCTGAATTTGCAGCTTCCTCTCTAACATTCAAAAGAAATGAATGAATGTTAAGAATCTGATCAAGACATTGGTCATGCGTGCTGAATCTTGCACAATTATCTTCTTACATTGGTTATGGTTATGTACTTGAAGATCAATATGTTTTTTCATGATTTGTGAAGAATGAAAACAATTATATGGAGTATAACACATGTTCATTTGCATCGAGCTCAGGTTCCTACACCCGGAGTGTGAGTTCAATCACTCTCACGGCTCTTTTACATTTTTGCATCGTCAATATCTACAAGTTGAGAAAATTCTGAATCATGTTATCAGTTGTTTTGGGTTTTATTTACAAAGAATTGGGATAACTCAGCATTTGAAAGGCACGTGTTGATGTTTTTTTCATGATAAGTTGCATCATTTCCTAGTATTGTTCAATCCATATTCTCGGAAGTACAAATCAACATATAATTATAAAAGAAAAACAATTTGGTACTTATATCTTTCTAAGTATTAGGTATTAGTTTTGAGTAATCTCTATAATATTATTTGAGAAGTCAGTTTCCTATGTGTCGCTCTCACGTTCATTCTCACGATGGTTGATTACATTGATACCCTTAATGAGTTAAAAATAGTATTATTAATTCTTTTATTTTTAGTTTTTCCTTTTCAAAAATTTCCAAAAAGATATGTAATAAAAAAGCATTTTTTTATAAAGTCATAAAACAAATTTAAAACGAAAATATATGTATATATAATATAATTTCATAAAAAAGGAAAGTTGACAAAATAGTAATAATACATTGAAAATATTTTTAAATAACATAAAAATATGTATATATAATATAATTTCATAAAAAAGAAAAGCTCACAAAATAGTAATAATACATTTAAAAATATTTTTAAATAACATAAAATATACTTTTATAGTAATAAAATAGTTTATAATTAGTATTATTGAATTTTTATTTATTTTTATATATTTAGTTGACTATAATGTCTTTCANAAATATTTTTAAATAACATAAAAATATGTATATATAATATAATTTCATAAAAAAGAAAAGCTCACAAAATAGTAATAATACATTTAAAAATATTTTTAAATAACATAAAATATACTTTTATAGTAATAAAATAGTTTATAATTAGTATTATTGAATTTTTATTTATTTTTATATATTTAGTTGACTATAATGTCTTTCAATTACAGAAAATGATCTAGAACTTATATTTTACTTATATAATATTATTTTCAAATACAATCACAATTTTGTGTAGTGCTTATTTTTAAGAGATTAAAAACTAAAAATAAATTTAACAATAAACATAGTTTGGTCAAAATAATTGTTCTAGTGAGCTAGATATATGATATTTTATCATTATTAAAATTATTTATTTTATTAATATTAATTGTTTTAAATTTTATTTTTTATGTTTGTGAAACTAAATATAACCATAATCAAAATATCAAAGCAAATCTGAATTCTCAATTTAAGATTATTTAAAATAAATTTCAGTTTACATTCAATAAATCTAAAGCATAAAGTTATTTAGAATTTATAAATGCATGTAACCTTTTTATTGATCATATGATAACTCAAAAACATGTTAACAAATAAAAATAAATACTAACCAACTCTTACAATTTTATTTCTTTTGTAAAATTTATATATATACATGAGACTTTAGAATATTTTCGTTATATTAATTTACGTATTTTGGAATCAGACACTTTAGTTAATTTTTAATTCATTCTAAGCACAATATATCTTAAGTTATACATAATTTTTCTAAAATATATTTACATATCTAAGAAAACACCCACCATATGCGAATAATTAACTAATTCAAAATTAATATATTTTAAAAATATTACAGTTGAATTCAGAGATGCAATCCAATTTATCCAAATGATAACTAAATCAACCGTAAAACAACAAAATTGACTAGATATAACATATATAAAATTACAGTATGAATAAATTAATATAATACTATTAATATAAATGATGCATAAAAATTATAAATTAATTTAAAATTAAAAGTAAATAATAATCAATTATTATTATATATTTAATTTAAAAATAATTATACCCGTGCATGAGCACGGGAAAATCACCTAGTGTTATAATATGTTACAAAAGTCGTGAATCACCCGTTAAGCATGAAACCGAAAATCCAACTTTGTATTTGAAAAGGTAAGTACAAAAAAACAATTGTAACAACGAAAATGTGATTTACTTCATTCTACAATATTCTTGTCCTTCTGTTCTATTTTCAGTAAGACATGTCTAATGTCCACAACTTTTTTTAACTAAATTTATTAATTATCAAAATACCACAAAAATTATTTAACAAGAATATTACCTTATAAACTGAAATATATATGTTCTTACTACAATCTTGCAAATTCACATGTTCCATGATATATCAGTGTTCAACACGCAGGGTGCTAACATGTCTCCACTCTGTAGATGATTTAGGGAAATTCGCTCGCACTAACATGATCCATTTGCACCATTTTCATTGACGGTCCTCTTCTAAAGTTTGTAAACACAAGACACATTCCATTAACCACAGACGTCAATTCCCACACAAATTTTAAATTTACATCAATACCATCAAAAAAATATGCCCATGTCATCCTACGGGAAAAAAATCCAAGGGAAGATAGATCTATTATTAGGATTAGACATCCAACCAATACTTACAGCCCTAGCTTAGAGCATAAGGTAAGAAAACAACCATACACAACTGCCAATAATAACCTTAGATAGATAAAATATCCAATCACTACCATGTTACAGAACAATATCACAAATTACAACAGCACAAGTCACATAACTCAAGTATTTTTGCATTGTCCACACCTACTTAAGTCGTAACCACACCCAACTATGAAAAAGGCAAAACCCAAACCACAAAGTAAACACAAACTCATTAACAACACATTTTCTAACGAGATTACAAGAAAATCCAAGTGCTACACCGGCAAAATTTCCCACAGATATAGTATAGCTTTTAAGAACGTCAGAAATTACCTTGACCGAAAGAACAACACTATGAGTAACATCTAGACTGAAATATATACATACCGCTATGACTACATGACATGGGCCACGAACAAACTGTACATCGGATCTTCGTAGCCTATCCAAGACGCTCTGCTATTGGCACGTTGTCCAACTGCAAACAAAGAGGCTATGACTACATGACACGGGGCACAAAACAAACTGCATGTCGGGTCATTGTAGCCTATCTAGACGCTTCATTATTGGTACGCCGTGCAGGTGCAAAAAAAGAGAAAACATTACACTAATTTTGAATCCTAAACATCTTCTTATATATATATAATCTTATTTTACTACATTAAGACAACTGATATATGCAAAAATAATAAGAACAAAAATCAAAATTACAATACTAAAATGAATAAAAAAAATGACAAAAATTTATATGTAATCCCTTAAACGCACGTTTTGTAGTGAGATGATTCTATAACGGTCATATTCCCATGATAAAAAACTGCAGAAGTTATATCTTCCAACATCAAAGACAGAATTTGAACAAAATATCTGTGTGTACTTTCCAACATCAAAGACAGAATTTGAACGAAATATATGTGTGTAGTTTATGTCTTTTGATAACAATCTTAGTTGTAGTGATCGATATAAGAATAGTAAACAATATGTGATAAGAACTTTATGAATTTTGATAACAGTCCTCAATTTTCAAATAATTGAATACTTCTATATGCTTAATTACGTTCTTTGGTGTTGATTCTCTTAAAAATGTTTAGTTCCATAAACAAACCACCACCAATCATCTTTGAATCATATTACTTTTCAAAAGGTTTTTAGATTTAAACATAATGCATTCAGAATATTATAACTGAAAAATTTAACACATATAATGTCAACTAAAAATCTTTATTAATATCATATTAATAAGAAAATAAATTAAAATATTCCCTTTTATGTTGGTTGCCATAATCGCTCCCTGCATGATTTATAGGCAAGGGGAAGAGGAAGGGTAACTACAATTGCAGGATCGTTGTATTACACCATTAGCGGATTTACCGTTGTCACATTTACACTGATCAACAATGTGGCTCTTTTTGGTCTTTTTCTTGAAATCTCTGAGGCAACTCTGTATTCCATCATTTCCACATTTTCCAGGAAAAAAGTCTCTAACGTAACACCTGTTAGAAGCCGCTTTTGCTTCTACTGTTTATATCAACACATGAAAAAATTGTATAATAAATAACAAAGTTTAGTTTTATTTGTATAATGCAGCAAATTGAGAATTGGGTTGATATCTCTATATTCTGCAAATTATTAGTCATAAATCAAATATTAATATATACCTTCAGGATAGCTCAAAACGAGCAACAAAACAACACAAGAAACAATGAATAAAATAAGAGATTTCATGGCTCAATGTCAGATAAGAGATAGCATAAACAATAATTTGTCTTCTTGATAAAAAAATTGTTCCTAACGCTCATATATACACAAAAAAATAAGATAAAAATAGATTGTTTTATTCAACTTATGAAAATAGAAAAATTGAGCGAGGTCAACGAAATTAACGTGATCAGCCATTTTCATATTTTCTACTAATTTTGGAAATTACAAATTATTTACTACATCAATATGAAGATGGAGAGATTTAATATACAATTCTAAAAAAATGATTTGTTACTCATTTAAAATGCATGTTAAGTTTTTTTTAACAAAAATTGCATCCAAAGTTTTAAACTAATAACCATATTTTGTATTTTCAATAATTTATTTTCAATTTCAGTAATTGTCTAATTAAACAATTCAGAAAAAGTTAAGTTAATAGTAAAATTTTAAATATATGAAATTTGAGTAATGAAAATTTTTATTTTTTCTTTCAAAATCTAAATATCCTAAACTGACCAGAAATAACCGAACCCGAACTAAAAATATCTGAACCCAACCCGATATTTAAAAATATTTGTACAGATACTAAACCTTAATACCGTAATACCTGAAAATCTGACATACCCGATCCAAACGGATACCCGTACGTCCACCCCTAATCTCACTGATGCTAATTACTTGAATTTTAATTTTTTTCCTTGACAATACTTCATATCTTATGGCTTTGTTTCTTCCTCAAAATGAATTTACTAAAACGGTAATGTTGAGACAACAATCAACTTCAACACACATTTAGGTTCGTTTTTTAATCATTTTCTCTCTTTATAACTTAATGTGGAATTAACAAGGAAGCAAAGAGAATAAAAGACACATAGCAATTTAACCAGTTAAGAGCCTCGATATGAGCTACTCTTACGTCTGGGCCAGGAGACTCTAGCAATCCACTATGATGTGTTCAACCTTACTATCCAGCTTTGATAGATCATCTTTAGCTCAATGATACAAAGATAAGAGAATACAAAGTTATCTCAAGTCCAGTCTGACTTCGAGCTTATATAAAAGAATACAAAGTTATCTCAAGTCCAGTCTGACTTCGAGCTTATATAAAACTCATAGGGTAACTCATAACCCTAATAGGATATATCTCTTTCCTTCTATTCAATAGGAAGATTTCCTAGTCCAAATGTTATTCAGTTTTGGACCAATAATATCCAACAAAGCTTCAGTTTTGGACCAATAATATCCAACAAACTCCATCTTGAGTTAACAACTGAAAACATCTTCATAGTCATTGCACTTCTAATCTTTAAACTTTGCAATGATGATGCTATCTTTAAGCTTCAGTCACCTCAACAACTCCAAAACGTCGTTAGACTTGTTCACCGGAACAACCTTTGTCAAAACATCAGCCGGATTTCTCGAGGTTGGAATCTTCAGTACCTCCACCTCTCCCCATGCAAACCAATCTCTGATAAAATGGTACTTTGTAGCAACGTGCGTCATTCTCTCATGAAAAACTATGTTCTTTGCCAAACAAATCGTACTCTGCAAATCGCACGTATATAAACACACTTCTGCTCAAACACGAGCTCCTTCAATAACCCATTAATCCAAAGACTTTCTTTCACATCTTCTGATAAGGCAATGTACTCATCTTCAGTCGTTGATAGAGCCACCACAAGCTGCAAATTTGACCTCCAGCTAACAGTGTTTCCTCTTACCTTGAAAACATATCCAGAAATTGCTTTTCTCTTATCCAAATCAGCTGCGTAATCAGAATCATAGAAACCTTCACTTGAAAACTCCTTTCCCTTTGTATAAGTTAGACATAACTGAGAGGCCCCTTTGATGTATCTCAGTAACCACTTCATGGTTTCCCAATGCAGTTCCCCAGGTCTGCTCATAAACCTACTAACCAGATCAACTCCATACGCTAAGTCAAGTCACCATCCTACCATAACGTACATGATGCTTCCTACAACACTTGAATACAAAATTATGTTTGTGACCAACACCTCAGAATCCTCTTCCACATAACATAACTTGAAATGTGCTCCAATAGGTGTATTCACCTTCTATGATTCTGCCATATTGAAGTTTTGTAGAACCTTCTGAAAATATTCTGACTGAGACAGTTTCAATATCTCTTTCTCTCTGTTTCAGAATATATCCATACCAAGAATTCTTCAAGCGTTCCCAAAATCTTTCATCTCAAACTCAGAGCTTAGCAAGCCTTTTAACTTCGAAATCTCATGTATCTCCTTGTCTGCTAATAACATATCATCCACATACAATAGAAGGTACATAAAGTTGCCTTTAGAAACCTCTTTAACGTAGACACACTGATTTTTCTCACTTTCCACAAAACCTTGATCCAACATAAAATTGTCAAATCATTTATTCCGCTGTCTTTGAGATTATTTCAATCCATAGAGGGATTTCTTAAGCAAACACACTTTCTCAACTCCATCTACTTCAAAATATTCAGGCTGACATGTCTTCTTCCAAGTTTCCCTAAAGAAAGGATGTTTGAAAATCCATATGTCCAAACTCCAAATCAGCATGAATAAATAAAGACAACATGTATATAAACAATCGATCCTAACGTTCTTAAGTGTTTGTATCCAGGCTTCTTCTTAAGTCAAACTTCTTCAGGAATGTTGTTGTCAATCGCAGACGACGGTGTTCTATTGATCAGGTAAGCTGTTGTAGCTGCAGCTTCCGCTCAGAAGCTTTCACTTAAACCATATTGGTTTAACATACATCAAACCTTCTCCATAATTGTTTGATTCATACGCTCAACAATAACGTTTTGTTGTGGCGTATAACTACCCGTACGATTCCTCTGAGTTCCATTATTTTTCCAGAATGTATCGAACTCCAAGTTACAAAACTCGAGACCTTTGTTTGTTAGAGACACTTTACCTTCTGATTCACTTAATTCTCTACCAGTGTCTTCCATTCACAGAAACTTCTGAAAGCTTCATCTTTAGTCTATAAGAATTATAACTATACCTTACGAGAGTAGTCGTCGATGATTGATAAGAAGTATTGCTTCTTTAACAGGGATGGATGCACATTAGGAGACCCCCAAAGGTTGGCGTGTACATGCCCAAGTACATTTTTCGTGTCATGCTTTCTGATCGTGAAGCTTACAAGCTTTGTCTTTCCCATTACACAATCTTCGCAAATATTCCGAGTTTCAATCTTCTTCTTCGTTAGTATGTCTTTGCTAACCAATATCCTCAGATTTTTCTCACTCATGTGGCCTAATCTGTTATGCTACAAACCAGTGATGTCACTCTTTGGTACTGCAATTTATGTATCGTGAACTTTGCTTGTCATAGTGTCACCTTTGAGGATATACAATCCGTGTATCAGATTTCCTCTCATCCGGTGTCTTCCATTCTTTTGAAATGTGAGTTTACCATCTCCACCAGTGTGCTGGAATCCGAGCTTATCAAGTGTTCCTGTTGATAACAAGTTTATTCTCAGATTTGGAACATATCTGACATTGTTCAACACATAAATTGAGCTTCCCCAAGTCATCAATTTTATAGAACCAATTCCTTTAGCCTCCACCGACTGATTATCCCCAAGTAGAATTTGATTTCTTTTTATCTTTGTAAAGGTATCAAACTAATCTCTTTTGGACGTCATAAGGTAAGTACACCTTGAGTCAATAACCAAATTATTTCTTGGATTCAGATTAGAGACGTTCAACGCGTCAAAATACTGAAGCTTCTCTGTAATAACACATGCTTCACCTTGTTCCTCCTATCAAACTTTTTCTTTAGAGCAAAACAGTATTTCCCTAGATGTCCCTCCTTCTTACAGTGCCAACACACCACTTTAGATCTTGATTTTGACCTACCAGAATTACTCTTCTTAGAATCGCTTCTCCATTCAAATCTTCTTCTATCTTTCATGACTAAACCTTCTCCAGTTTCTTTACTACTCCAACCACTGTCTTTCAACTCTCTTTTTTTATCACGAGCTGCTGCAATCACAGCCTCTAGAGTTATGGTGTCTTTTTCTTACTTCAAAGTCTCCTTCAGCAGGTTTTATTGTTATGGCAAAGAAAATAGAAGTAATATGGATTGCACCTCATCCGTCACCGTGACTCCAACTCTATTCAAATTAGAAACTAGCTTCAGGAAGTCATCAATGTTTGAATCAACAAATGTAGAATCAGTCATCTTAAAGTTATAAGACTTAAACTTCAGGAAAATCTTGTTCAGCAGAGACTTAGACATGTATAGTCTCTCCAACAGAAACCACATAGCTGCTGCAGTTGTACAGTAGCTAATTTTCCGTAGAACATGGTCACCAACATTCAGAATAATCAGATTCATGGCTTTCTCTAATTTTTCAACCTTCGAGAGATCAATGTCAGCTGGTGTTAGAGCAGCTGACTTTCCCTCCTTCGCTTTATCCTCTTCTTCCTTCGATTCAGATATAGCGGGTTTTTGAATTAGCTTCTCATCCTTAAGAATTTCTTTCAAACCCAAGTAAACAAGATGCGGGAGCATGCGAATCTTCCACAACAAAAAAATCGCCAGACCCATCAAACCGAACAACCTCTATCCGTGTATTAGACATCCAAACCTGATGCTTTGATACCACTTGTTAAGACCATAATCAACTTCAACATACGTTTAGGTTCGTTTGTAATCGCTCTCTCTCTCTCTCTCTTTTTAACTTAACGCGAAAATAACAAGTAAGCAAAGAGAATAAAATACACAGAACAATTTATCTAGCCAGGGTCTCGATATGAGCTACTTTTACTTCTGACCAGAAGATTCCGATAATCCACTATTATGCGTTCAATCATCGAGGTTTGACAAATCAACTTTAGCTCAATGATACAAAGAGAAGAGAATACAAAGTTATCTCAAATCCAATTCGACTTCGAACTTATATAAAACTCCTAGGATAACTCCTAATCCTAATAGTATATTTTTTTTTAATTTCCTTTTATTCAATAGAGAGATCTCCTGGAATGTTATTCAGTTTTGGACCAA